TCAGTTGGCCCCTCTCCAAGATGGCTATCAGCCAGTCACCGTCTCCTGGGGAACATCTGAACCCAAATAACTCACCAGCCACTGCAGTCCTCTGTGTCCTCAGTTCCATTCTATTGGTGCATTTCTCTGGAGGCTTCTGGGGTTGCCAGTAGTCACCATGTGTCTGCAGGTTCGAGCTACCCCTCTCATGCATTGAGTCCAGGCTCAAGGAGAAAGCGTCACTTGCCACCTCCTTCTTCATTGAAATCTCTCTTAGCTGTCCCCATGGGCTTCACTTCTCACTTCAGATCCTTCCTAAGTCCCAGGGTCCCACTTCCCTCCTTCTCTTCTTCAGGTTGCTATATTCCAGTGTCTGGACATCAAATCTTGGAGAGGTCATTTCTCTGCTGCTCACCACTCTGCCAACTTCCCAGAAGTCTCTTATTGAGCTTTTTCTAAGGAGATGTCAGATAGTTAGGATTTTGTATGTAATCCACATAACAATCCTACACAGAGTAGGATTGTGGTGTAATTTTATCCTCAGTTCATAGAGGGAAATTGAATATGTGCACAAGAAAAGGCAGTATGCTATGCCACCCGTCTTTGAAGCTTTCTGCATAGCAGAAAAAACAACCTACAGGGAGGATGAAGAAGGACGGATGACTGGGGATATACCGTTAATGTCATTCATATTATTTGCATAATTTTAAAGAGATATGAAGCTACTTGTGACCTAAGAGCAACTGTAAGAAACCTCATTATGGGAATGGGGAACTGCCAATGTATTATTACCTCAGAGCCCCAGTGTATTATTCTCGTAATAAGATATATAGTTTCTGTAGTTTTATGCAGAAAAACCATAGCTCACTTTCTTTGAGACATTTCTGGTTGCTTAGTTGAATCCTTAGCAAAAATGTGAAATCACGTACTTTGCCCTTTTTTTTATTTGGTACTTGGGATCAAACTCAGGACCTTGCGCTTGCAAAACAGGCACGGTGCCATAGACCAAAATCTCCAGCTCTACTTTGCTCATTTTACACATTTCTTACAACACTATTGAGGTGCAATTTGCAAAGAATAAACTCCACATATTTAAAGTGATCTGATGTGTTTTGACGTATCCACACGTCCATGAAACCATCACCACAATCTATGTGATAGGTTTCCTTCAAAAGTCTTCTAGGGCCCTACCTTTTGTATTCTGCCTGCTTTTCATCCTCATCCCCAGGCAACCACTGATTTGTTTTCTATATGTATAATTTTCAAATTAACCTATTAAAAGTTAAATAGGGAGCCTGGTTCCCTCGTTTATTAATAGGTAAATTCTATCCTTTTCTATACAGTACACTATAGATAGGTTTGATTAAGACTAAAAATATGTGAGAGAACACATCAATTTATTATCTAACATTTTTCCTACTCACTATATTTATTGAATAATCATAGTTCCTAGCATCTTAAACCTTTAGACCAATTCTCATTGTAGTTCCTATACTAGTAACATCACCACTACCCAAGAACTTGCTAGAAATGCAAATTCTCCAGTCTAATCTCAAACCTACTGAATCCAGAACTCTAGAGACAGGACCTCACAGTCTACTTTAACAATTTCCACAAAATTCTGATATAAACTAAAATTTGACAGTGAGTAGTTTGGGCTATTGTGCCTACTTTGCCAATTTAAAGACTAGACTTTAGAAATCTATCTTTAAAACTAAAGGAAAATCTCTACTTTGAAATTCTCATTTAAAATAAATATACTGTGAGCAATAAATGTTTGATAAAAACAGCAATATAGGGCCGGGGATTTAGCTCAATGGTTCTGGTGCCTGCCTCACAAGCGCAAGGTGCAGAGTTCGATCCCAGGTACCCCCCCCAAAAAAAACCACAAAAAAACGGCAATATAAGTTCTTTTAAAATTTTTTATGAGGAGAAATTTATAAAATATACAAAAGAGATAATCCATCAGAAATTCACGAGCAAATCTCATTACCAGTCTGTTTCATCTATGCTCCTATCTACTTCTCCCCACCTTGCACCTTGATTTTATTTGATCTATAAATGCTAGAATGAATCACTAACAATAAAAACTGTTTACAAAAAAACCAACCATGATCCCATATCACACCTGAAAAGTTATAGGAATTCCTTAATATCAAAGTATACAGCTAATGTTCAGTTTTTTTAATTTGTCACATATCTATTTGCATTTGGTTGGTAATCCAAATAAAGGCCAAACATCACAGTTAGCTGACTTGTCTCCTCATCTCTTTTACTTAGTAGGTTCCCTTCCCTCCACCCCATTTTCCCACCTATAATACAAGTGGGATGATTGGACAGTATTGTGAAGGTTTAAATTTTTAAAAATTAGTATAGTAAGAGACACGTTGTCATTATCCTTCTCAAAATATGCACCCTCACTTTAAACACACTGATCCCACTGTTCTTAGCAATGTGTTTTTTACCAAAAGTTTTTTTAAAATTCACTATATTTTCGATCACCCCTTGTATTTGGTTTTGAAACTGGATATTTAGTCCTGTAGAATTTTCTGCATTCTGGATTTTTTATTTGCTGTTTACACCCCTGTGGTATCATTTAACATGTTCCTCTGCCCACCCCCAGTAATTTCTATAACTAGTAGTTAGCTTTTGCGATTTGATCAGTTATGAGTCTGTTTTCTGGCAAGACTGCTTCACTTGATGTTTAATGCTTTTATTAGGATGCTCATAATATCTGGTTGTATCTCTTTTTGTAAGAATATATTCAGGTAGGGCTGGGGATTTAGCTCAGTAGTTTCACTGCCTGCTACACAAGCTCAAGGACCCGAGTACGATCCCTGGTACCAGAAAAAAAAAAATACAATGGCAAGAATATATTCAGGTATTGGTGAACTTAGGTGTTGGTAGCCTTCTCTAAAGGTGACCTAGTAAATATTTAACAACCAGCTTGGGGTAGGTTATAGGGGTAGGAATAGGATTAGGGAAGGATCCTGATTTATACCAGTTTCCATAGGGTAAATATTCCTGTCATGGCTGGTTTTAAGGACCAACACAATGCTAACCAACATTGGCCTTGGAGGATGGTCAAGCCAGCTTCAGAACACTGCTAATTTATTCATTTGCCACCATTTCATCTAAGGCTTTTTAGCAGCCATTGATGATCTTTGCTTAGATTTATTTTTTCATTAGAGTTATAAAATGGTGATATTCAAATTATCTCTCCATAAAAAAAAATAATCTCTCCATAATATAGAGGTATTAGAGTAGTTCTATAAAGAAAAATTTTCCCTCATCTATTTGGTACCCAAACACAGAGTTCATATAGGAAATGCAGGACAATTTCTTGATTTTTTTTCTCCATTTTCCCCATTTCTAAACCAATTTCTTGTTTTGTTCTTTTGAGACAAGGTCTCACAGTGCAGTTCAAGCTGGCCTTGAACTCATGTAGTATAGGCTGGCCTTGAACTTGGGGCGATTCTCCTGCCTCAGCCTTGCTAGTGCTGGGATTACAGGCATGTGCCACCATGCCAGGCTCTTAGTCAATTTTTAAAATCAGTTGGTTCTTAGCATCTACCAAGAAAACACTGATATCTAAAATATACTGTCTTTCAAAAAGGGAGGCAATGGGCCGGGGATTTAACTCAGTGGCATAGCGCCTGCCTGGCAAGTGTGAGGTCCTGAGTTTGATCCCCAGTATCAAAAAGAAAACAAACAAAAAGGGAGGAAACCAGATGGTCATTTGTTTTTGGTATCATTATGAATTCAAAGATCTTATTGTTTGTTTGTTTGTTTGCTTTTGGTTTTGGTGCTAGGAATTGAACTCAGGGCCTTCATACTGAGCTATATCTCTGGACGCTTTTTTATTTTTTAATTTTGAGTCAAGGTCTCTCCTAAGTCATTAAGTTGCCCAGGCTGGGGTCAAACTTGTGATCCTCCTGCCTCAGCCTCCCAGAGTGCTAGGATCTCAGGAGTGTAGGGCCAGGGATTTAGCTCAGTGGTTCCAGCTCCTGCCTCTCAAGTGCAAGGTCCCAAGTTTGATCCCTGGTACCAAAAAAAAAGTCCTATTCAGGAGTGTGCTACCATGGCCTGCTTGAATTAAAAGTTTTTAAAAACATATATTTGATATATTTAAATCTATTACATTTCCTTTTGATTCTCAAATTGTTCCATCTTCAACTATTAGGAGCCTCTTCATGTTGATCACTAAATCCGTTGACATGTTACCAATAATCTCTATTAGTTTTTAAATTTTCTGGTATGACAAGATTCCAACGTCTTCTCAGACGTTTCTTACTGGGGAACTGGAATCAGCCATATCTCTAAAAAGCACTGTTTTGTTGTAGTGAGAATTTTCTTTTTTCTTTTTTTTTTTTTTTTGTTCTTTGATATAGGGTCTTGCTATGTAGTCCAGGCTGGCCTTGAACTCATGGTAGTCCTCCTGCCTAAGCCTGTGGAGTGCTGGGATTACAGGTGTGCACCACCACACCCAGTGAGAAATGGTTTTTCAAAACCATACTCTAGATACTTGCATTACTAGCTCATTGGTATTAGGTTTATTATTTCCAGGTCTTTTCCGTGAATAGAGGGAAATGGAGATTTTTTAAAAAGAGAAAATACATTGTTAGTCTATGCTGATATTTCCAGTTCAAATCTAGAATTAGAGGATTCAAAAGAAGTGTTGTCAATAGTACTTATAGGGGCTGGGCATGTTGCTTAGTCTAGAGCACTTACATAGCACATGTGAGCCCTGGGTTCAGTGACCAGTTCCAGCAAAGAAAACATACTCATAGGAAGAATGAGAAGTAAGTGAGCTATACAGTGGTAATTGACAAAGGTTTTGGAAACTTAGTCTCCCGTATAACTTAGAACATTATAAGGGGCCAGGGATTTAGCTCAGTGGTGCTGCTGCCTGCATTGAAAGTGCAAGGTCTGGAGTTCGATCCCCAGTACCAGAGGAAAAAAAAAAGAACATTATTTGTATTTAAATATTTATGGAACTTCTCTGTTGTGGTTGTAACCAGGATTCTGCTGGAAGAAGCAAGAGTGTTCATCACACATTTTCTGTTCAAGAGAATATTCATCTTACATTTGATCCCCTGGCATCATTTATTCTCCTTACTGACCATTGCTCTTTGGTGAGTAAATACAGTTATGTAGTACATGTGTTTTTACTAGATTTGGTAAATGAGACATTCTACTAATACAATCTTGTGACAAGAAAGCTTATAAAATTAAAGTTGATTTTTTTGTCTAGGAAAATAAAATGCTTCTGGGTTGATTTGAATTAGAAGAAGGAAGGGGATGGACAAGTAATTTAGGACCTTGTTCTCAGCGATGCCGTAAAACCAGGGACTGATTTGGATTAAGGCAGCTCTTCAGACTTCCTCAGAGTCAGTAATTTGGTAGAACAGCTAGCAGAGCACAGGAAAACAGTTTACATACTAGATTATTGGCCCTTTTTTTGGTTGGTTGTTTGTGTGGGGTTTTTGTTTTGTTTCATTTTTTTGTTTTTTGAGACAGGGTCTCACTATGAAGTTCAAACTGGCCTTGAACTCACTGTGTAACCCAGTCTGGCCTTGCACTTGGGCCAGTACTCCTGTCTCAGCCTCCTAAGCACTGGAATTATAGGTGTGTCCCACCACATCTGGCTAAATTACTGGCTTTTATATAGAAAGATGCAACTCAGGAATGGCTAAATGGAAGAGAGCCAGGGTGAGGTAGGAGAGTTGGCACGAGCCTCCATGGCTGCCCCAGACACAAACCCCTCCCCCAGGACCTCCCCATGTGTGCCGACAGTGCAGCTCTCTGAGCTCCTGCAGTCATGGAGCCACACTTAGTTACTAAATCTTTGGCCGTAGTGATTAATGCACCCCAAACCCTTCAGGGTAGAGGGGTGGGTGTGGGAGAGGGGATGTGAGGGTGAAACCTCCAGCCCCTCTGATCACCTGGTTGTTTCCCCAGCATCCAGCCCCAATCCTTTAGGGCTTTCCAAAAGTCACTTTGTCAATATGAACTCACATGTGCTTGGAAGGGGCTTGTTATTAATAACAGGAGATACTGCTTTTACCCACTGCTACAGAGCAGTTTCAGGAACTGGGAGCAAAACCCAAATACTATAACAACGCTGTTACCACTTAGAAAATTACAAGGGCTTTAGGAGCTATGGCCAGGAGCCGAAGATGAGGACCAAAATATATATATCTTCTTATATCACAGTATCACAGATGACATTTCCATTTTTGTTAATGGGGCCAGTTTAAAAGCCTTCATTGCTGGGCATGGTGGTGAATGCCTGTACTCCCAGCACTCAGGAAGCTGAGGCAGGATTGCTGAGTTCGAGGCCAGCCTGGGCTACATAGTGAGTTCCAGGCCAGCCTCAACTACATAGCAAGAAAAAAAAAAGTAAAAATAATAAAAGCCTTCATTGGAGCTGTGTCTGTGTATCTGTTTGCACATTAACATCTATTTCTGTGCAGGCCCGGATCCTTTTTGTGCTGATTGTGCTGATTCAACTCTCCACTCTCATTATGTTTAGATATCTAGCATACCCAGAGCTTAAAGGTTAGTCGTGGTTCCATTTCAGATATCACACAATGTCCTCACTATGACTGGGTGATGGATAGCAGTATAAGTTGTATTAGGCTGACCTCTGTAAGGCACTTTTTTCAAACTGTAGTCTTTCTTCATAATACAAACACACACACACACACACACGCATGCATGCTTGTGTTCTCGCCAGTACTGGGCTTTGAACCTGTGCTGGGCAAGTAGGCTACCACCAGCTATACCACTTCCCTTTTTATTTGATTTGATTTTTTTTGGTACCGGGGATCAAACTTGGGTCCTTGCGCTTGCGAGGCAGGAGGCAGAACCACTGAGCTAAATCCCCGACTCCCTTTTTATTTTATTTGAGACAGGATCTTGGTAAATTGCCTGGGCTGGGCTTTTATTTGTGATCCTCCTGCCTCAGCCTTCCAAGTAGCTGGGATTACAGGTGTGCCACTACACTTGGTTCATAATACTCTCATTTTTAAAGAACTTTTTTTTTTGGTTGCTACATGGTAATAAAATGAGGCACAATCAAAATGTGAGAAAGATAGGGCCCGGGGAGTTAGCTCAGTGGTTCCACCGCCTGCCTCTCAAGCACAAGGTCCCGAGTTCAATCCCTGGTACAAAAAAAAAAAATGAGAACGATTACAGTAAAGCTCAGAATGACTAAATTTTAATATATGTAGCTATTTAATGTAATTTTTTTTTTTGGTACCAGGGATCAAACTCAGGACCTTATGCTTGAGAGGCAGGCAGTGGCACCACTGAGCTAAATTCCTGGCCCTTATTTAATGCAATTTTGTATATGAAATACTTTTAAATAAAAAACCCTATTCAAATAAAGATAAGGCACTAAAAACTTGACAAAATTTAAATGGTGTGTATATAATTTTTAATTATACACACAGAGCAGGCTACAGAGACATTGTACAGTGATTTTGCCCGGGTGCCCCTTTCTTCTGATGCGAGTCTGTCTTTGTATGTGTCCCTGACTCTATTTGCTGTGCTACAGAAGATACATGGAGGTATATTAGTGAACAATGAAGGTTAATAATTACTAATATGAAACCCTTCTGAGAGGAATATGAATTTTAAGGTAGGGCCAGTGAATGGGGAGAGCCCTAACTGCTAACCAGATTCTTTCCTACTCTTAACTTTTTTCATAAAAACACCTCTCATTATTAGAAAAACATTGAATGTACACAAAAGAGAATAGTATAAAGGACCCCATGTGGTTACTCAGCTTTAACAATTACTGGTGTTCTAACACTCATGTTTTTCCTAGCCTCCCCTTCATTTTTATTGGAATATCTTAAATCCCAAGTATTGTATCATTTCCCCTATAAAAGTTTTACTTCTCAACTGGGTAAAATAACTTCTGATAAATATAATCAAAATACCACTAACATACCTACAAAACTGAATAATAATTCCTTAATATCTGGCCTTGTTCAGTTTTCTTCACTTTTCTTGAACAATGTCTTCCTAGAGCCAACTTGTTTGAACTAAGGTTCAAACAAAAGTCCACATTTTACATTTGGTTGCTACATCTTATAAATTTCTCAACCTATACTGCTTCTCCCACCTTTAAAAACCATGCTGCTTGTGTGTGGGGGGCCGGGGATTTAGCTCAGTGTCACAGTACCTCCCTCACAAGTGCAAGGTCCTGAGTTTGATGCCCAGTACCAAAAAAACCCCCCAAAACCCAAAAAACCATGCTAGTTGTGTGATGATAGATCTAATATAAAGACTTTTGCAGTTCTTGATAAATATGAGAAAGCCATATATTAAGTATAATTATATGCATACCTGTATTTATATAAAATGTCTCACAACTAAACAATTTTTTTTGAACTTTCTATACTCTGTAATTCTAAATTGGCTCACCAGGATTCTGAATATAAAGTAGTGTCATCTGTATAGTTGCCATGTAATAAAGGGTTTTTATAGTAGGTAGCCCATCAGAGTCTTAAAGAAAATGATATAAGAAGTTAAACTTCAGTGGTGTTCATTGGTTTTTTTGTGAATTTATCCTGTTTAGAGCCTCCAGGATTGATAAATCTGACTTCATTTTCCCTTCATGTCTTGAGCAAAATAGACATCTTCTACTATTCTATGTTGTTCCTGACCCTGTATACAGTGCTGGGTAAGTAAATTAATAAATTTCAGATTATGGAGAATTCTACCAAATAATATATTGAGAATTGGGTTTTTTTGGTACTGGAGATTGAACTCAGGACTTTTTACTTGCAAGGCAGGTGGTGGAACCACTGAGCTAAATCCCCAGCCCAATATATTGAGAATTTTGACATCAGAATAACTTAGCCTCTTAGAGGTATAATAAATGGCATGAGTCCTTCATAAATCATTTCCTGGGATATGGTTTTGGAAAATAAAGTTTTTATCCCTTACATGTTTAAAAGACATTTAGTAAACACCAAAACTTTGGTTTTTTTGAGATAGGGTTTACAGTACAGGCTGGCCTTGAACTCATCCTCAGCTTCCTGAGTGCTGGGATTACAAGTGTGTGCCACCACCACCAGCTCAGTCAACACAAGTTAACATAAGTGTTTTGAGAAGATCATTAATTATTAGTTAAAAACATAATAGAAGCTTGAAGTTCAGTTTAAATGCTACCTCCTCAAAGCAACCTTCTTGGACTACCTCCTATGTTCCTTTACTCCTCTACCCAGCATTAAGCACAATACTTAGTCCATAGTTAAGCGAATACTTAGTAACATGTGTCTCTTAAAAATATATAAAAAATGAGAGAAACTGAGGTGAGCTGTTCAGGCATATCTGAGATTGTCTGTTGGACACATTATTACACCTAGTACTTTGGAAGTCACTTAGCCAGCTGTGAAAGCAGAAAGTACGACAGGTTCTTTTAGGCTTTTGCTCAGTTTCTTTAGAGACTACAGATCAACTAGGAGCAGGTTAGTCTATTTGTTGCCTAGTCTTAGTCTTTGTTTTACACATTTGGACTTTGCTCATTAGTAACTTTCACCAGAGAGTAAACTAAAAATACGACGCTACATTTTCATATGACAACCCATGGCATGTGTCCTTTGGAGGTAAATTCTAAAAGAATAGTTGAAGATGTTTTTGACACTTGTCCTATACTAGGGGACAAGCAAATGATTTTGTTCCTGAGCTGGAAAAAAAAAAATCAAAGGGCAGAACTTGTTCCATTGAAAAAGTTGAAACTAAGGGAGTTTTTATAATGTATATGTGAGAAAATTGCCTATGACTTTTTATTTTTCTAGTATTCTTCCTTTCAGTTGTTTATTGCACAATTCCTTTAGTATCTTTTTTTTTTTTTTGGTACTGGGGATCGAACTCAGGTCCTTGCACTTGCGCAGCAGGCGGGGAAACCACGCCTGTGACTTTTTAAAGAGAGTAAATGATGGTATTTGCATTTTGAGAGAGGAAGTCTGACCATTAGTCTTATTAGTCTTGACAATATAGTAGTTCCAGAAACACAGACACTGAGAAGGGGCAGTAAATAATAATAGGAAAGAAAATTCACCGTGATGTTCTAGTTGAAAAATTTAAAAAGCAATTTAAAGTGTTCATGTTAACACTGATTATGTAGTTGAGGTACAAAGCACAGATATTCCCCATTTAATGACCTACTGGTTAATGACCATTCAGACTTAACAACTGAAGCATGCTATTTGGACTTACGACCTGCTGCTTGGACTTAGGACCTGTCTTTTTGGGGTTTTTTTGTACAGTTCTGTATATCTTTATAGAGCCTCAGTGTCTTTTTGTTTTTGTTTTTTGTTTTGTTTTGTTTTTTTGGTACCAGGGATCGAACTCAGGTCCTTGTGCTTACGCAGCAGGCTGCGAAACCACTGAGCTAAATCCCCAGCCCACAGTGTCTTTTTTTGGTACAGTATACTTTGTTTATACAGTACTGTAATTTTGCTGATTGTACTGTGCAGTATAATACTGTAGTTTTATGTTATATATTACAGTATTGCATGTAAGAGTTATGCAAATAAAAGCCACGTTATCAAGTTGAAGTTTCTTTTGACCATTTCTTTGTTCTGAATATTATAGTATATATACTACTATATACAATTCCTCATTTAGTGAGCTAGTCACAAGAATGGAACTCAGTTGTCAAACAAGGAGTGTCTGAAATTAATGACTGTTGGCAAATAAGAAAAATTAAAATACATTTATTATGTTAGAAAAAGAAGCATGAGTGTTTTGTTTGTTTGTTTTTGTTTATTTTTTGCATTTTTTTTTCCTTCCCAGTAGCAGGTATCAGGGATCGAACTCAGGTCCTTGCACTTGCAACGCAGGCAGCAGAATCACTGAGCGAAATCCCCGGCCCATATTTCTTTATTTTTTGAGACAGGGTATCTGTGTAGTTCAGGCTAGCCTTGGACTCAGTATGTAGTCCAGGGTGGCCTGAAACTCATGGCAGTCCTCCTGCCTCAGCCTCGCAACTCTTAGGATTATAGGCGTGCACTGCCATGCCTGGTCTCATGAGTGTATCATCATCAAAGTAATTGGGAGTTTTATTGCTTTAAGGAGTAAATCTCAGTTATCTCAAAAATTAGCTTCAGTAGAATACCTCTTTGCTTAAAGGAAATGCTAAAACACTACATTGAGGTTATTATTGCAATAGAATATTTAAACTTTTATGAGTGTGATACATTCTGTTTTTAGAATCTGCAAGCTGCATATCTATTCTAGGTAGAGCATGTAATTGGACAGTGTTAAAATCGAGAGAAATATGGAGCAGTTAGGATGCCCAGTGTGACACAGAGATTAGCAAGGAAGAAAGTGCTATGAGTAAAATGCTAATAGATGATTAGTCTTCATTATTCCTATAAATGCGTCTCTGATATATGTAATCAAAGCATTAGATATTTAACTTTTTCCTTTTCTGTCCACTGCCTCTCTTAGGACCATGGTTTTGTGGTGAAATCATTGATGACAAGTTGGGCTGCTGCTTTTCCTTTGGGATATTTGTTAATGGGCATTTCCTTCAAGGCAGTATGACATTTGTAGTTGGAATTCTCCAGGTAAGAAGTCAGAAATACAATTTAGGAATGTTTTGACTTGGCTGGATTAACTGTGTAACAGTTATGAGTTAAATCCAAAAATCCAAAGATGACCATAGATCATCTTTCCTACTTTTATTTGTTTGTTTGTTTTGTTTTTTGATGTTTTGTTTTGTTTTGTTTTTTGGTACCATGGATTGAACTCGGGACCTTGCGCTTGTGAGCCAGGTGGCGGCACCACTGAGCTAAATCCTGGGCCCTTGTTTTTTGGTTTTTGAGACAGGTTCTTACTATGTAGTATAGGCTGGTGTTAAACTCACCATGTAGCCCAGGCTGGCCTCAAACTCACAGCGATCCTCCCACCTCAGACTCCCAAATCTTTCCTACTTTATTTGCAAGGCAATTTCCAATAACAGATGTTTTGCCTGCTTCCTCTTTACTTCCACTACTCTGTGTAAGCATCTAAAATACATCTCTGACATTCAGCACTGAGAGGTTTAAGAGGTTCTTGTTGTTTGGTTATGTTTTTTCATTGACAAAAAATGAAATAACTTGTGGTAGAAAAAATTAAACATAACCAAGTAAACCAAAACTGATTATGATAAGGAAGAAGGAAAATAAAAAATAGACATACAAGAAAAGTGGGTCATTTATTCAGTGGAAACTTCACTGGACAAAAAACAATGGCTTTCTGGGCTGGGATTTAGCTCAGTGGTGTTACTACCTTACTTGTAAGCACAAGGTCCTGAGTTTGATCCCTGGTACCCCCCCCAAAAAAAACAACCAGTGGCTTTCCAATGATGTCTTAGCAAGATTCTTGTTTGGGAAATAGTGATATATGAGGCTTACATTTGATTCCTTTAAAACAAACACATGAACAAATAAAACATTCTGATCCATGGCAGAATTCTTTAAACAGATTTTAAAAGTATTTACCTAATAATTGCTTTGGTTTACTCACCTAATGGGGTTGGTGGGCCAAAATCTCAGGTATAATTTGAAGGTTTGGAAGAGATCCAAAAACATTCAGAATGAGTGCAAGGCCTCCTAACAAGGTGGTAAAACAAGATCAGAGGGATTAGAGACAATCAAGACTTTTTACCTACCAAACACTGACCCTACAATGTTCTCTACGTAGAAGCATTAAGTATGTGAGTAGATCCAATTCTCTGTTCCTTCTCACCCCTGCCCCATTGAACCCAGACCCTCGGGTGTGCTAAGCACAAACTCAACCACCGAGCTACACCCATAGCCCCAAATTCTGTTTTCTAATATGTAAGTGAAGGCTGTTTATCTGGAGCACTCTTACACCAAGTGAAGACTAACTTACCAAAAGGCAAGGTTATTTTTCCTTTGTATTTATATTCATATGTTAATCAATAGTAGGTTGGTAATGAATTTAATGCATTATCTAGGCCATGACTCCCAAATTTGTGTCTGTGACCTAGACCTCTTCTCTGTACTTCAAGGCTACATATCCAACTGCCATTTTATATATTCCCTTTGATATCTAATAGGTATCTCAGTTTAATACTCTGTCTCTGATAGGAACTTCCACTTCCACCTAGACCAGTGGCTCCACCCCCATTTTCCACCTGGCTCATTGTGCTCAGCAAGTGCTGCCTTAAAGATGCCACATCATTTACCGCACTTCCTTCAACTGGCCCCTGCCCTTGAGGCTTCAAAGAGCCTGTCCCCTAGTATCTTATAGTAACTCAGTTATTTCCTTCATTGAATCTGTCAAAAGCTGTAATTATCACATTTTGTATTGCTTTCGTTTTCTTCTCTACCTTTTAGAATGTAGCTTCATGGTGGATCTTTTTTGACTTGTTTACATGTGTCTCCAGCCCAAAGTCTAGCAAAGTACCTGCCACATAAAGGGTGCTTCATTAATATTTGTTGAATGAAGGAATTACACAGCAGCTAAATTGAATTATAACTTAGATCTTCTAACTTATATTTCAGTACTTACCATGCTACCTCAAACAAAAATATAGAAATAAGAAAAAAATACTGATACCCAAGTCCCTCCACCCCAAAAAATATATACTGTGTGTTTGTATGCATACTCAGTTCACTTCAACACTGGTGTTTACTGTGTGTATGATATCCAAGTGGGGGCTCAGCAGGAATAGATGCCTCCCTTTAAGAAGAACAGAAGGCCACAGGCAAATAACAGTTAACTGTAAGTCAGCTGTAACTGTGTTACAGACAAGTGTGATTGAAGCATTAAAGACCAGACATTCTCAGATCGGATATCCTTAAGAGCCACCAGTATACAGACTCACCCCTCTCAGAGCTTGGCGGTGAGCTCATGGTTTTGTTCTGTTCCTTTTTCCAGCTGGCCTTTTTTAACATCCCCCTGATGGCTTACCTATGTTGGAGCTTACTGCATCGGTGTTTTGGTCAAAGCTTCAGGTCTCATCTCCATCAAGGAAAATACTTGAAAATTATACCTGTTCACTTGCTTATGGTCCTGCTCTACATCTGGCAAGTTTATTCCTGCTACTTTCTTCATGTGACATATGGCACTCTAGCTCTTTTAATATCCCCTTTGCGGACCTGGTTGACATTGCTGACGCCTGTACTCATTCGATGTGTGTGGACACTGAACTCAACGGAGTTTGGAACCTTCATGGTGCAGTTAAAAAGCCACCTGAGCTACTAAAGGTGGTTTCTGACCACTGGCAGCTGTGCAGAAGTCCTGCCTTTGCATCTGTAGCCCGGGTCCCTGGCCCCAGTCGCAGGCTGAAGGCCATTATCTGTGTGTGAGCTTCAGGGGCCACTGCTCCTGGGACTCCTGGATGTTGGAGGGATTACTCACTACTGATTCCTGCAGAGTGGACTGCAGAAAAGTATAAGCACTGACTTGATTCTGGCCTTTCTAAGGAGATAAAGAAAAAGCCGTAATCAAAGAGCGCCCCGGCATAGAGGCTGGATGCATGCACGGTAGTATCTCGGGCCCAGTGTGTTTTTTAGGGTTATCCCGTGTAAAGCATCTAGCACTGTGCCTGGACCTCAGCGCTGTCAAGGATGACAGCGCCCTGTGTGGACCTGGGCCAGACCCTGACTACCCTTGAGATGTTAATTTCCAACTCTGTTTTCCCACAAGGTTATGAGTTTTCTGCTTCCTTGGTCGGGGTTTTCAACTAACCGAATAAATGACGAATGACTAGTAAGGAACCCGGCATCGGGCTGTGGCCACGCCTCTGGATACCGGAAGGTGGGGCCTGGCTGGGGAGGCGTGGCTAGTCGGAGGGGCGTGTCCACGGGCGGGGCCCGCCGGGCTGTGGCCGGAAGCGCGGCGGCGTGGCATTGGCCTGAGGTTCCTGTCTGACGGCTGCGATGGCGAGCACAGCAACGCCTGCGCCCTCGGCGCCCGCTCAGGCCGGGTCTTCCGAGCTGCTCCGGCACTTGGCGGCGGAGCTGAGGCTGCTAGCGGCCCGGGTGCGGGGTGAGTGCGCCTCGGGAGGGGCGACGCGGAGCGACTGGGGGTGGGGACCGGGCAGGGGCGGCGCGGCTCACCTCCGCCTGTCCTCTCGCCACGCCCTGCAGTCAGCGAGCCCCGCGAGCCCCCCGAGGAGCTCGATCGCGAGCGGTTTTGGAGGCGACTCAGTGAGTGCCACGCGTGTCTGGGACCCTCCCCACCCTCTCCCCATCCCAGCCTCTCCCTGCGGCCCGCTTCCTTCTGGCGGCGACGGCCCTCCCCTGCGTGTCCCTGCGGTGGGGCGACTTCACTTAATCGGTCCTCGGCACCTGATGGGGCGGGAATACTTATTTCTGAAGGTATTTTTGAGATGTCTTAGACTAATGAGGGTGGGGAGGGGAGGGGTGATCGCCAAAGTCTGTGCGGCGGCGTTAGCCTTTGGCACTGACTGGGGCCTGCCTCCTCCTCCGCCCTCCGCAGATGACGCAGCCGTGACTGTGGCTCGGGAAGCCACTACCCTGACCGTGGTCTTTCGACTGCCGCTGCCCTCACCACAGGTGAGCTTCATTTCACTGCAGTCGTTGAGCCGCCTCCTTGTTTCTTAGGGATTTCTTCTTTTTCTTTCCACCCCTTAATATAAACAGTATCCCATGTGCACATTTAAATTGTTTCCAGCTTCTAACGATCGTAAGCAGGTGCTGTGAGTTAACCAGATGTAATCTTTGTGTACAGATGTACATTGTAGAAAATTCCCAGAGATGAAATTGCTAGAACAAAGAATTTATGCATTTTAACAACCATTTATTATAAAACTGAAAGATGTTGGTTGTAACCAGACATGCCTTTCTTTTACTCACTTTTTCTAGAGTTGTATATATTTGAGAATTGAGGTTATTTAAAAATTGTGTATTCATTGCCTTGATTTTCAGTCAGTAGCTTCAATTTCTATTTAGATGGTTGAAATTTTATATGTGTACAGCTACAATGATAAATTCTCCCTGCATACTTTAGAGATCTGTGATGAGGAAATTGGATAAACTGTATAAGAGCACTTAAAATTCATAGAAAAAGATTTATTTATTTCAAGGAGAATAGTATTCTTTATTTGTTTTTATCTACTGCCTCCTTCCTTTCAAATATATTTAGGACTTGCTGCTAAAATTCACAGTAAGATCCTGCAAGGAAGCAGCACACAACTATTTTTCTGTATATGCTTAGGACAGTAGTTTTACTCATAGGTCAAAAATTAGAATTTGGTTTTGTTTGAAATATATGGAAGTATATATTCAAATATATATTTGAGAGTCACAGTTGCCTTCTTAGGATCTCAGCACTTTAGTCCTACTGAAGGATGTGTGTTTCTTTGTTGAAATTCTTTTTTTTTTTCCTTTGTTAAAATTCTAATTGTTACGGACTGAATTTTTTTATAATTACATGTTTGGAATTTGAAGCAATGATACGTTGCCGTAAAAGTTTCATAATACTCTCAATCATTGTATTTATTTCATTCCAAATTGGTAACAGTTTGTAGAGTGGCACCAATTTGGACCATGTTTACATAGTACTGGTTTAGAATTTAGCAGAGAATAGAAGCCAAGAAAGGTAAGAAAGCCAGTGACTGCTTAGAAGGAACATGGTCAACATTGAGCATTAGCCATGTTAATTACGTTGAGTACCCTGTTGAGAGAGACACACACAAACACACAGACCTGGTTAATAGTCCAACACAGGGATTGGCAGACTTTTTCTGTAAAAGGCTGAGTAGTAAATATTTTAGGCTTTGTAGTGTGGGGTATAAATTAGTAAACCGGTGAGTATAACTATGTCACGATAGTACTTTTGTTTACAAAAACTGATAGTGGACCTGATTCAACCTGTGGGGATATAGTTTGCCTCCTCCTAGTCTAACACATGGCAAATACCTCATGGCATATCATGAGTATCTTGGGATATGTAGTATAAAGAGTAAGTCTTTCCTGCTGTTTAATTCTTTCTTGAGTTATTAGCCAGTGTCTGGTTTCCAGCTAACTTTTCTCTAGTATGGGATGAACAAGCCTGACTCCTACTAGGACTTGAGAAAATGTTTGATGGAGCTATACAGATGCCTGCTCCATTCCACAGTAGATGAGTTGACTGCATTGATCTAATCCATTGTCTTTTTTTAATTCTGAAATTGGTCCATCACCTCATAGGAAACGAAGGGCATATGTGAGCGGGTCCATGCTGCCGTCAAGGCAGTTACTGCAGTATACTGTGCACTTCCCAGGGACCAAGGTAAGCCGCTGTACACACATTAGAATTGCACTTAGAGGCCAGAGTTTCACTAATAGGATGCATCATGTTCTGAGACTACCTTTGCCCAATTTGAGCATGCAGCTTTCTCCCATAAAATGCCATCAACCATAATTGTACAGTGATCCTCTGTAACACTCTAAGATGCCAAGTACAGATGCTGTGGACCTATGACTTTCCATCTCTCCTGCCTTGCCTGGCTCTTAAGGCTTTTAATTCTCACTGACTCTTCCCTCTTCCGCCCTTTGTAGCTTCCACAGTAGCTGGTGGAAGCTCAGCTTCATACCCAGGCCAGGCTATCCCTGCTGGCCTTCACCTATGTTACATCACACCATTTTCAAACTCCTTCATAAGTGAAGTGTCCACCAGCCCTGCCTTAGTTTTGTGCCCTGATTATAATCATGCCAAAATGATAAATGTCATAGGTGTTCAGGGTTGCTCAGAAATGCTTTAAACCTCAAGTGTTCTATCCACAGTTTCAAGAGACAACTATCCCTTGAATATATGCTGTCCCGGAAGACTTTTGTTTCTTGTCTCTTGGAGAATAGCTGTAAGGAACGGTGGGAAGGAAGAAGAGCAAGAAAATGACCTGGGAATATAAAAAAAGAAGTGATTGTTGTGTTGGCACTTCATTTAAAGCATAGGGTGCCCATTACCTCCTAGTTCTGTAGGCTTGGGAAAGCAGGTGGTGACTTCTGAAAAGGAGCCCAGACTGCCTACGCTTTGGGTTTGGCCACAGGGATCACCCTGAGAAAGCTGGTACGGGGCACCACTCTGGACATCGTGGATGGCATGGCTCAGCTTGTAGAAGTACTTCTCATCGCTCCAGCTCAGAGGTAGTGATGCTACTTCATGGGGTGGTAATGGGCTTTCTTGATTGTGGAGGAAAAGCTTGTCTAACAGCAAAGTTACTGACAGCTGAGAATAAGGGCTAGTAGGAGAAGCTTATTAGTAGACAGGAAGCTAGGTTATTGATCTGTCCTTATCAATTCCTTTCCCTAGCCCTGAGAACAGTGACCTTATTTCCTGCAACAGTGTCTGGGATGCATGCCAGCAGGTGCCTCAGATACCAAGAGGTGGGTAAGAGTGGGAAGTGGGCTGGACAAAGCAGACAAACTTTTGTCTAGTTCCAGCTTTGTAACAGGCACATATTTTAATTTCTATAAAAAGTTTAGTGAAACACATACAGTTTATCATCAATATTAATAGATATTAATACTTTTTGGCATTTTCTAGTTCTCATCCTTTGTTTTTTGGCAGTGGTAACGACTGAACGAAGTGCTTTGCACATGCTGGGCAGGTGTCTTACTCCTGAGCTACATCAGACGCTTGCTGTGGCTCTGTCTCATGTGGAACACATGCAGTTTGTTCTAGTGTTGCCCCAGAGCAGTGTTGTTGGGCACAGTGAAGCAGTTATGAGGTAGAGCAGGTGGGCCAAAAGGATCATATGAGAACATCATGTGGTGATTTTACTTCTTTTAATTTTTAAATTTTTTACTAGTATATTTTTGTAGTACATAACAATCACCACAGCCATGGGGAGTTGATACATGTACATATCACATCTTAATTCTTTTTTTTTTTTTTGGTACTGGGGATGAACTTGGGTCCTTGAGCTTGCGCAGCAGGCGGCAAAACCACTGAGCTAAATCCCTAGCCCTTAATTCTTTTTACTTCCCCTTCTCTCTTCCCTCCCCTCTCCCTCCATCTCTTGATCCCCTTCTCATTTGCAAAAGATCTATCTTCCTGTTTCCTATTAGTATATCTTTTGTGTGTGTAGGTGTGTGGGGTTTTTGAGACGGGCTCTCACTATGTAGTTCAGGCTGGCCTTGAACTCACTAGGCTGGTCTCTACTCATGGCAGTCCTCCTGCCTCAGCCTCCCAAGTGCTGGGAATACGGGTGTGCACCACCACACCCAGCCTATTACTGTCTTTTATTTTGCTCTTTAACATATTTATACTTTGGGTTTGATCTCAGGGTGCTTCCATTTCCTACAAATGACTCAAATTTATACTCCACTATGGGAGAGTAGTATATTATTGTGTATAAATACCACATTTTGTTTGTCTGTTCACCTGTCAATGGAGATATAGGCCACTTCCAAAATTTACCTATTATGAATTGTGCTGTTATAAACATGGATAAGCATGTATCGCTGTAATATGATATCTTTAACTCTTTGGGAAAGATACCTAGAAGGAGAACAGCTGAGTCAAATGGAATTTCTAGTTTTAGTATTTTGAGGAATCTCCACACAGATTTCCATAGTGGTTGTACTAATTTACATTCCCACCAACAATGTAGAAGGATTCCTTTCCTCCCACAGCCTCGCCATTTGTTTTTCTTTTTGTTTTGGTACGGGGGATCGAACTCAGGACCTTGCACTTGCAAGGCAGGTACAGTGCCACTGAGCTAAATCCCCAGCCCTGTTTTTTGTTTTTTGTGAAACAAGGTCTCAGGCTGGCCTTGACCTCACTACTCACTAAATTGTTCAGGCTGGCCTCAAACCCGAAGCAATCCTCCTAGCCCAGCCTCCTGAGTGCTGGGATTGCAGGCATGCACCACCACGCCTGGCCAGCCTCACCATTCTTGATGATAGCCATTCTTTTTGGAGTAAGATGGAATCTGTGTTTTTTGTTTGTTTTGTTTTGCTTTGTTTGAGACAGGGTCTTTTTATGTAGTTCAGACTGGGCCAGGACTCACTATGTAGCCCAGGCTGGCCTCAAACTCTTGGCAATCCTCCTGCCTCAGCCTCTGGCATGCTGGGATTATAGGCCTGTGCCACCGTGCCTGGCTATTTCTTAGCTATTGTGTTTCTATTTCTGAGACATGTCTATGCATTGCAATTGCCCATTTTTTAATTGGGTCTTTTATTTTGGAGGGGGGCTGTAATGTTTTTCAGTTCTTTATCGTAGATATTAGTCCTTTGTCCAAGGAATAGCTGACAAAAAAATTTCCCACTCTGTGGTTGTCTCTTCACTGTTGGTTGTTTCCTTGGTTGTGCAGAAGCTTTTTAATTTGGTATGATCCCATGTGTTGATTCTTGATGTTATTTTTTGTGCAGTTGGGACTCTTCAAAAGCCCCTTGCCTGTACCTATGTCTTCAAGAGTTTTACCTATTTTGTCTTCCAACAGATTGTTTCTGTTTTAATATTTAGATCTTTAGGGCCAGCAATTTAACTCAGTGGTGCCATGCCTGCCTCACAAGTGCAAGGCCCTGAGTTTTGATCCCCAGTGCAAAAAAAAAATTTTAGCTCTTTCATGAAAGGTGTTTTGTTGTTGTTTTTTTTTGGTACTGGGAATTGAACTCAGGTCCTTGCACTTTCGAGGCAGATGGCAGAACCACTGAGCTAAATCCCCGGCCCCAAAAATTTTAGATCTTTGATCCATTTTAATTTTAGTTTTGAACAAGGTGAGAGATATGGATCTACCTTCAATCTTCTGTATGTGGATAGCCAGTTTTCACAGCACCATTTTTTAAAGAGGCTGTCTTCCAGCAATTTTTTTTGGTACCAGGGATCGAACTTTGGACCTTGTGCTTGTGAGGTAGGCGCTGGAACCACTGAGCTAAATCCCTGGCCCTCCAACGTATGTTTTTGATTTCTTTGTCAAAGATCAGATCCTGAATGTGTCTGGGGTGGTTTCTGTATCCTCCATTCTGTTCCATTGATCCATGTGTCCATTTTTATGTCAGTATCATGCTATTTTTATCACTGTAGACGTTTTCTTTTGTTTTGTTTGAGACAGGGTCTCACTGTGTAGTTCAGGCTGACCTTGAACTCACTGTGTAGGCCAGGTTGGCCTCAAACTTTCGAGATCCTCCTGTCTCAGCCTCCTGAGTACTGGGATCACAGGGGTGCATCACCACACCCAGCTATCACTGTAGCTTTGTAATATAACTTGAAGTCCAGGATTCTGTTCTTTTCTCTTGTTCCCCAAGATTTTTATTTCTTCTTGTAGTGAATAAAGAAGAGCTTTTTAACCCTCTGCCTGGGTACCAGAAGATATAAGGAGAAGAGTTTTACTGTAAACCACCAGTGTTGACCTCAATATTTTCTTCAAAAGAAAGTTTTGGTTGTCCTTTGCAATCTTAAAAATCGTTGGGTTTCTCTAATTCTAATGCTTCTGATTTTTTTTTTTGGTTTTTTTTTTGGTACTGGGGATCAAACTTGGGACCTTGCACTTGCGAGGCTGCCAGTGGAACCACTGAGCTACATCCCCAGCCCCTAATGCTTCTGATTTTCACCTATAGATAACAAAGCTGCAGCTCTTTTAATGCTGACAAAGAGTGTGGATTTTGTGAAAGATGCACATGAAGAAATGGAGCAGGTGAAAGAATCTCTTTCTTTACTTGTCATTGGGAGGTAACTCTGCGACCAGTAGCTGAGACTTGATTATAAAGAAAGGAGATTGTCTGAGTGTTGACTAAGTAGGTCCCATTGTCACTGCAGTCCAGTATCCTGTCTCTACCCTGATGGTGTGATTTAGCAGCTGTTCTGCTGCTGGGCAAGGGCCATGAGAACAGAGTCTATGAAATGATTCAGCTCTGTAGCTATGAAGTAGCTGGCTGAGGTTTTTGGGGAACTGAGTCCTAGCACTAAAAGTATAAACGGCTTTGTGTGTGTGTGTGTGTTTATTCACGGTGCATCATGGTGTGTGTCCCAGGCTGTGAAGGAGTGTGACCCTCACTTGGGTCTCGCGCATGACTCTGAGGAGGACAGCTCTGGCGGCTGTGGGGGTGAGGATGAGGTATTGGGCTTTCCGAGCAGTCAGGATGTGCACTGGTCTGAAGAGGACCGAGAGCTCATTGCCCCGTGCCTCGCGCTGGTGAGAGCATCCAAAGCTTGCCTGAAAAAGATCCAGATCCTAGTGGCAGAGAATGGCAAGAAGGACCAAGTGGCTCAGCTGGATGACATTATAGACATTTCTGAGGAGATCAGCCCCAGGTGAGTGTGCACCTCATGTGGGACAGAGGCACATCCTCATCTCAGCTCATGCTGTCACTCCAAGGCTTTCCCCTAAGTTTTTTGTTTTTTTTTTTTTATTACTGGGGCTCAAACTCGGGACCTTTCGCTTGCGAGGCAGGCAGCGGAACCACTAAGCTAAATCCCTGGCCCCTCCCCTAGTTTTTTATATTTCGAAAATACAGGAAAATTTTTAAAATACTTCAGAGAATATCCTACATTTTTTCATTTGGATTCATCTATTCTTCACAGGTTTTCCTTGTACAGGTTTATTTTTCGAGAAATACATGTATTTTTTTTTTTTTCACTAAACCATTTGAGAGTTAGTTGTGGACATCAATGACATTTTACCCCTAAATACTTCAGCATTTATCTCTTAACAACAAAAACATTTTTATTGTCACAAGAAATTTAACACTGAATGTAATATTTAATACTCAGGTTTCTCTATTTGTCTCTCAAATGTCTTATGTAAATCCAGGGTTCTGTGAAGATCATATTACATGTGGTTGTGATCTCCAAATATTCTTCAGTTTCTTGTAATCTAGAATAGTCTGTATCTTTCATCTTTTTTGACATTGATGTTTGAAAAGAAAACATGATATTTTCTTGTAGAATAGCTAACAATTTGGATTCAAGTAATTACTTTCTTATGATTATAGTCAGGTTAAACATTTTTTGGCAAAAATGTCATACAGTGGAGTCTTTTGTGCTCTCCCTTGTGACGTGTCGAGGGGCAAATTATGTTGGTTTGTCCCATTATTGGTTGTACTAAATCTGATCACCTGGTTAAAGTGGTACCTTCCTTAGTAAGGATACCTTTTACCCAACAATTTTAGCTTCCACTGATGAACTCAACCTATATCAGTTCCTAAATTGATGATTTCAGATCCTTACTCTGTGTGTGTGTGTGTGTGTGTGTGTGTGTGTGTGTGTGTAACTGGGAACTGAACCCAGGGATTGTAGTGATCTATATCTCTAGCCCTTTCATTTATTTATTTTTAGGCAAGGTCTTGCAAAGCTGCCTAGGCTGGGTTTAAGCTTGTTATCCTCCTGTCTCAGCCTCCCAGAGTTCTGGGATTATAGGCATTCACCACCATGCCCTGTGTATAGCCTTCTATTTCTGACTGAATTAATCTTGCTCCACCTGTGAACCAAGAGCATCCCCCCCATCCCGTTTTCCTAGTGAAATACAGTAAGTTTTAGTAAATATTGGGTGAATTGATTCTGCATTGGTTGCCGAGTTACTTAATTTATGGAACTAATATGCATTTCTGAGACAGATTCTTCTTATATCCATAGTTGTGTACTGGAAACATGTAGCTGAGCTTCATTCCTTGTTAATGATTATTTTTGCTTTTTACTGTTAGTGTGGATGATTTGGCTCTAAGCATATATCCGCCTATGTGTCATCTGACTGTGCGAATCAATGTAAGTACAGAACTGATTAGCAGAATTTCACTAATCACTGACATTCTTCTAAATTACGGGGCACATATTTATTTCTTACACTTGGATGCAGACACAATAGTAATGTCACAGTTCTTGCATGAATTTGTGTATGATAAACATTTGCTGAAGTCAGATTATTATAACCTTGAACTTTGATTGTTCTCTTTGTTTTTTTTTTTGTTTTTGGTACTGGGGATTGAACTCGGGACCTTGCGCTTGTGAGGCAGGCGCTGGAACCACTGAGCTAAACCCCCGGCCCTGATTGTTCTCTTTTCCATAATCATTTGAGTGATCATTGGAAAAGTCCAAAGATTTTAGGAAATGCTGTTTTGAAAGGAAAACCTTGAGCTGGGAAGTTAGCTCAGTGGCACCACGCCTGCCTCACAAGCACAAGGTTCTGAGTTTGATCCCCAGTACTGGAAAAAAAAGAAAAATGAAAGGAAAACCTTAATTACACAGTGCTTTAGGAATCTCTGATCCTGCAGGCACAAATTTCTAATTTGTAGTGTAGGCGAGATAAGTTCCAGGAAGACACTGCTGTGACACAAAAACATTGTATCACTTCACCTGGAAAGTCAGTCTCTACCAAGTTCTGTTGCAGGTTTTCAACTGCTGAGCCCTGTTCTAGAGTTCAGTTCTCTTATTTTTATAAACCCTAGTTCATATCTTCAATGCTATTGGAAGAAGTCAAATTGCTGAGCGGCATATATTTTACAGGGTGATGTTCCTCTTCTGATATTTGATAAATTAGGTTGTAGAAATTAGATTCATCAAATGTATCTCTTTTTTTTGGTACTGGGGATTGAACTAAGGACCTTGCACTTGAAAGGCAGGCGCGGTGCCACTGAGCTAAATCCCCGGCCCCATCAAATGTATCATGATGTGCAAACACCTTAAAGTAGAATAGCATTCCTTTTGGGTGTTAACCTTTTTTCCTTCGGCATTAACTTTGTAAAAATTGACTCTGAGACATAAATATCTCTAGCCAGATGCCTTGTTAGTTTTCCTAAGCACAATAGCTAATATAGAAAATTTTACATATATAAAACATATACACACATCTATGTAATTTTCTCTTTTTTTTGAGGGGGTGGTGGGATTGAATCCAAGGCTTTCTTGATATTCTTAAAATCCTGTAGTTTTTTTTTTTTTGATACAGGGTCTTGCTCTGTAATTCAGGCTCTCCTTGAGCTCACTGTGTAGCTCAGGCTGGCCTTGAACTCGTGGCAATCCTCTTGCCTCAGTTTCCCGAGTGCTGAGATTACAGACATGCACCACCATGCTCAGCTCTGTAATTCTTTTTAATATGAAAAAGGACATTAGTTACTTCTGTTTTATATTCTGAGCTCTTGGGCAGTTGGGATGAATTCAGGTTACATTTCTTTTTTTGTCCTTTTTAAATTAATATTTTAAATTCTAAAAATTTATAAGAGTGTTATAGCAGCAATAGTAAAAAAGATTTTGATAAATACAAAATAATCTGAAGTTGAGGGTCGTAGTGTACACTAATCCCAGTGCTCAGGAGGCTGAGGCAGGATGATGCCTTTGTGTTCAAGGCCAGCCTGAGGTACATAGTTCCTGGCTCAAACAAACAGAAAAAGAAAAAGAGCTATAATCTTAGCACCCTAACTTAAACAGCATTTTTGTTTTTGTATATGTTCTTCAAGATTTTTTTTTTTTGTACCGGGGATTGAATTTGGGATCTTGCACTTGCGAGGCAGGCGGCGGAACCACTGAGCTAAATCCCCAGCCCTCAAGATTCTTTTTTAAAAGGATTTTAAAAATTATTTGGGTCTTTAAAAAATATTTGAGCTCTTCTTTCTTTTTGATGGCAGGGCTTAGAGTGAGTAACTACTCTCTTTTCTTTTCTAGTCTGCGAAACTTGTATCTGTTTTAAGGAAGGCACTGGAGGTTACAAAGTAAGTATGAAGCCTTTTCCCTGAGGCTTGTTATTGTCTGCTTAGCCATGCTCAACTTCTAAGCCCCATTTGAAGCAGTAGGAAAAAGTGGGCATGTTTTTTTTTTTTTCCAACTTCCATTTCTGTGAAGAGGCTTGATTCTCTTGCTGTAGTTTTTTCTGTGCACCCTCCTGAGGGTAGGCTTTCCCTTGACACTGTACTAAATTTAACTTTTAAAATTATTTTTTTTTGGTGGCACTGAGGGTTGAGCTACATCCCCAGCCCTTTTTAATTTAATTTATATATATATATATATATATATATATATTTTTTGGTGGTACCAGGGATTGAACTCAGGACCTTGCACTTGCTAGGCAGGCGCAGTGCTACTGAGCTAAATCCCTGGCCCTTTAATTTTAATTTTGAGACAGAGTCAAAGTTGCTAAATTGCCCAGGCTGCACTCCAAACTTATGATTATCCTGCCTCAGCCTCCCAGAGTGCTGGGATTACAGGAGTGTGCCACTCTGCCTGGCTAACTTTCTTTTCTCCCCCCTGGCAGAGCAAGTCACGTGACCCCAGAGCCAGAAGATAGTTGGATCCCTTTACTCATTAATGCTGTTGATCATTGCATGAACAGAATTAAGGAGCTCACGCAGAGTGAAATTGAATTATGAGTTTTCAGATTCATTCATATTCCCCTGTCTTCCTTTCTCACTGTCGCATCCAGGCTCTGATTCTGCTTTTAAAGATGGACCTAGCATACTTGCTAAGTGAAAAGAGAGTGCCTGTCTGTATTTAGCAAGAGGCTCTACTTCAGAAACTGTTGGTTAGGCCAGGTTGGCAATTATTTATAAACCATGTGAGTGTGATAAATTTTTCTCTGCTAGATATAAAAGATCATTGCATGAGTTTCTGTTTCTGAATTGCCTCAGATTCCTAAGGAAGTTACCCTGTTTCTTATTCTATTTCATATATTGTTTTATTGTTAAAGATGTTGATGGTCTCAATAAAATGTTAACCAGCTGCTAGCAATTCAGTGATTACCCTTTCATTTGGGTTTGTAGATCTCAGGATCTGATTATGATCAGACATGTATTTAGAACAAAAATACTGGACTTTAATTTTTTCAGAGATAACCACAAGCCCCTCTTACTACTTTACCATGTTATATAATATTATTTTCATCCGTAGGTCCTTCTGAATATTGTCTCAGGCTGTTCATTGCCTCTAACATATATTGGTGTTGCACTCATTTTATTAGGTTTGCCCATTTTATTGAACAGATTTGTTTTCCTTATAGCTACCTGAATTGTTCTCTGTTATATATTTACATGTATCCCCAAATGTAAAATTCCACATTTTACTAAATCAAAAAAAAAAAAATGTATAAAAGAGCTATATAATTTTAAGGGCCTTCTTGTTATATATTTTTGCAAAATCATCACCATTTAATTACATTCTTGTATCCATTGCATGTTGATCGCATGTTGGAGAGCAGGGTGCATCTCTAGCAGTGTAGACTGTGCTCACAGACTGGGGCTGTACGCACTGCAGGCCGTCTCCACCCTGCTGACAGCAGGCCTCTTCGCAGGTGCAAGACACCACACTTGTCCTTCTGATTGCTTTAGGCATAGTCCGAACAGAGTCATTCTTTTGAGTGACAAGTGTATACTTAGCTAATATCATCCCACTTTATCAGAAATAGACGAATGATCTAAAAATTGTATCTGGCCTTATCTGTTCCAATAGTTAAGGAGCAAGAAAATGGTTGAAAACCCCTGAACCTGAAAAGTCTGTACTCTGACAAGGTACTCAGAAACTCTGTATGTACTTTGAAAGGTTATTGAGTACCTTTTCAAAAGCTTTTGTTGTCCAAGCCTTATAGCTGCTATTCTAAGACAGCTAGTCTAGTGGCTGAGCTGACAGAAAGGAGCATCATTATCTGGATTTCTGGGGATCTAGCTTTATTGTTGGTAACTCAGCCTAGAGACTCATTTTTCCTATAAGCAAGGTTTCCTTCCCCAGCATGTGTTTGGTTTTATGTTGTAGTTTCAAGAGTTAGTTTCAAGATTGTGGTTTCAAGAGTGATGATGGAGCTGGAAGTTTAAGCTGAAAGTTCAGGGACTACCACAGTGACACTTTTGTGGCCAGTTAGGTTCTGGAACATGTCGCAGTCCATTTCCACAGTGAGTCTGTGTTGCCCCAGCTGTGCTGGTGTGAACTGGAACCAGGTATGCAAGGTTTCTCCAGGCCATACTGGACTTAATCTGCAGTAAAGGGAAAAGCATGTGCTAATTCTGCCTGGGGTTCATTGCTCTGCTGGTCCCAGTGACTCAGACCCTTGCTCGAAGAGGTGAAGCATGAGGAAGGAAGCATCTAAAGTATACTGCTGTTAAGACAGGTGGTTACAGGGCTGGGAATTTAGCTCAGTGGTTCTGCTGCCTGTCTCGCAAGCGCTAGGTCCCGAGATTGATCCCAGTACAAAAAAAAAAAAAAAAAAAAAAGGTGGTTACAAGGGGATAGAACACAGGAACCTCCTATGCTGAGCAGCTTTGTACATGGTTCAAACCAGAAGCATCCCGAGGGCTGAATCTGCTGTTTCTTTTATGATATGTGGTTCAGCCCGGTCCAGTTCTTGGTAACAGCAGTGTGGATTCCCTCACTCATTGCTCTGCCTCTGAGAGGCAGGCAGTGTGTCAGGAGATGGGACTTGGAGCCTTGTCAACCTCCTGATCGCCACTAGACCTCCTTTTGGTGTTGGAGGGAGTGGTGCGGATTTCCTTTCAGGAGCTTTGCCCCACAATTGACCTAGGAGGCCACACAGGTCTGGTTAAATGTTAGCAGTTCTCTTGCTGGCAAGAGTGACTCCTGGGGTATGAGACAGAGGCAGTGGCTCAGTATCCCAGCCATCTGCCAGGGGCCTCGGGGAAGGAAAGAGTAGGCATCTTGGAATTCAAGCGGGGATGCAGTGGACACCAAGAGAATATTTACAATATTTAGAACCAGCAAGAGACTAATTACCTAGAATGCGTGGGAACTCCTACACAGCAACAAGAAAAATGGCAAGAATATCAAAACAACAATGGGCAAAGATAAGAATAGACTACTGATGGGAGGAAATGGAAAAGGCTAGCAAATATATAAAAAGTGGCAAAGTAGAACATCAATAAGATATTTTTTTCTATTAAACTAGGAATAGAAATCTGGGTATTGTCAGGAATGGAAGACAGATAGGAATATAGAAACTCATGCATTTCATTCCTGGGCAGATATACCACCATCCCACCAAAGGTTTAAGAAGGTATATAAGGGGGTCATATATGAGGCTGTGGGTTCATGAGGCCGTGGGTCATGCTTGTGCTGTCAGAGCTCACTGGAGGGGTGTGGGGTGTATGGGGGTGCAGGCTGCGGAGCACTGCATAGGGCATGGTATGGGGTGGGTAGGGTGGGTATGGTAAGGTATGGTATGGGTGCTGTACTGTGTAGCAGAAGCAGTGAACTCAACATGTGCACGAGACTTAACAGTTCTGAGTGAAAAGAAACATAGAACATTATTTGTTTAAACACAGGCTTAAGAAACAACAGTATAGGGGCTGGGTAGGTAGCTCAGTGGCACTGCGCCTGCCTGGCAAGTAGTTCCATCCCCAGTTCCCCCCTCCCCCCGCCCCAAACTACACATAGTACACACGCTAATGAGAAGATACACATACTGATAAGAGGATATGAAGAGTGGTGTGGGAATGGGTGCACAGAATGGGAATAAAAGAATAAGCAAAATTATGTATTGTGACTAGTAGAGGGCAACTCTGCTCACACTGAGAAGAAGAAGCCTGTCCCCCTGTGGTCTCTGGAACATCTTTCTGGAATCTACCGGCAATGCTCTGCCTCTCCCGGTATGACCAGGACAGTAACTGGGGTGAGGTGGGAGACCGAGGGGCTCCCTTGGCCCCTCTCCCCCATGCCCCTGTGGACTTGATGGTCCCAGGATGAGAGAGGCATTTGGTAACCCTTAGGCGTTCACTCAACTCCCAGGGGCATTTCCGGGTGTGCTCCATGGGCGTGGCAGGAAGATGTTTTGGGGTGAAGGCATCAGTTGTAGCCCTGCCCCCTGCCCAGTTGTCACGTGTCAGTGGGGTGAGAAACTTGCAGTCCCTTACCTGTATCTCCTCTCTCGGTGAATGAGCCCCTTTCCAAAGATGGAGACCTCACAGTCCTTCATGGGGGAACCCAGGGAGTTATGGATCCTAACTGAGGCCCTGAGAGGTCGATGTTGCTTTGCCACTTCTGGCATCTGTGGGAAGGACCAACACATGGAGTGAAGCCAAGGGCACAGAGCTGCAGTTACACCTTGCCTTGACCTTCACCCCCTTGCCTCCTCAGTTTCTCCACTCATCTGCACCTTCCTGACCCAAGCTACACAGCTGCCTTCTTCCCCTGCTCTCTGATCCTCCTGTGTTCCCTCTCACCCTTGAACAGCACTGATGATCTGTGATGGTGCCTCTCCTGTGGTTTGAAACTTGCAGGGCTTCCCATTGCCTTTTGGGGTTCAGCTCAGGTTGCGTTTGAGTCCTCCACTATCTGCCCCCTGCCCACCTCTCCAGCCCCTGGGCTTTGCTTGACTAAACATCCCACCCACATCAGGGACCTTCCCATCCCCAGCACACCCCTCGGCTCCTTTTCTTCGCTTCTCTACCTGTCTGCTTCTGCCTTTAGTGGTCCCTCCCTAACTTGTGTACTGAAAGCATATCTATTTTCCAAGGCCAAGCATAAAAGTTACCTCCTTCATGAAACTCCACAAACCAGCAGCTGGAATTAATCTCCTTTATTTCAAAGAGACATATCTTATATCAGAGAGACTTTGTATCTCTGTTAAATCCTCACACACAATATCAAGTGCCATGTCTCTCTTACTATAACCTCCTTGAAGGCAAGGAGCAGATCTTATTCATGTTGGCCACAGTAGTCTTGTGGAACAAGAGCTGGACTAAGACAAGCTTCTAGACCTTCCTGCTTTTACAATCTTGGGCATATTGCTCTCTAGGACTCAGATTTCCTCATCTGACTTATGGAAATGGCTCCTTATGGGGATTTTGTTGATTTCTCTTTAAATTTATTGGGGATGGAACCCAGGGCTTCCTTTGAATGCCAGGCAAGTGCTCCACCACTGAGCCATAGGTCTTGTATTGAAATAAAGGAGGTGAAAATACTTCAGCATATGTATAAAATGCTAATAAACAGAAGCTGTGATTTTTTTATCCCTATAAATCTGGAAAAAGCAACTGGGAAGGCCCCAATTTTAAAAAACTTAACCGACTAAGACGTTCAAAGATTCAAACCATAATTGTATATGTAAGAACACATCTCTTGGGCCGGGGATTTAGCTCAGTGGTTCCACCACCTGTCTTGAAAGTGGAAGGTCCCGAGTTAGATCCCCAGTACCAAAAAAAGAGAACACATATCTTTAAGGAGAAGGAACTCTTAAGCCTAGCTGTCTGGTAACTGCCACATGGTCATCTGCCCCAAAGCTTGAGCTCAGGTTCCTTCTGAAGTGGGGACCTGAGCAGAAGCAGTGAAAGCAATTCAGGGAAGATCTGGTGCCTACCTCAACGGCAAGGCCTGGTCTCCCAATGGCGATATCCTCCTGAGCAAAGCAGCTCAGGCTGGAGGCAGAGTGCGTGGCCACTGAGGTGAGTCTGAGGCAGCTGTTCTCAGGCAGGTTTTTCTCAAAAGAGGAGAAGGACAGGCTGGTGGTTATTTTCTTAACTGAAACACACAATAGGTAGAGTTGGTGCAGAGCAGTATGAGCCCCAGAAAACAACCCATAGCTCCACACTGGATGTAAAAGACTCAGAGTCTCACTGAAGCCTGAAAGGTGCCTCATTCCCCACAGCAACTGTAAACTTTGTAACTGCTCAGGACCCCACCCCACCTGATCTCCACCTCCACTGTCACTCTCAGCAGACCACAGTCCTGTGAGCTAGGATGGGGGCGCTCTTTGGGCCTCAGTTCCTTGTCTAGTAACAGGTGTGGTTTGTGTTCAGTGAGACACCGGAAAGGAAGTGCCTCTGTCAGCCCGCTTCATAGTCACTGCTGAATTCACTCCTGTAGTTCCTTCCCATTCACCGCTGCTGCTGCTCTTTAGCAGAGAAAAAGCCACCAAATACGAGTGAAACTCAGGCTCCCATTCCCGACTTGCAGACACAGACATCCACCTGGGTTGCCACTTGCCCCATGGAGACTCACCCCGTGCTTTTTGTGTTTTGTTTTGTTTTCTCGTTTTAGAAGTAGGGTCTCCCTTAAACTCACTATGAGCCTTGATCTCACAGCGATCCTCCTACCTCAGGCTCCTGAGTGCTGGGATTACGGGCGTGCACCACCATGCCATTCCTTGTCTCAGTGCACAGCTACCTCTATAACCTGAGATTAACCCCTCTGAGCCTCGGTCTCCTCATCTGGAAAGAGGGAATAGTAATGGTTCTTTTTTTTTTTTGGTATGGGGACCGAACTCGGGTCCTTGTGCTTGCACAGCAGGCAGCAAAACCACTGAGCTAAATCCCCGGCCCTAGTAATGGTTCTTAACTCGTGAGGTTGTTGTGGAGAGTTAGCTAAATCATGCCTATAATGCACTTGGCACTATTTTTGGCAAATAGTGCTCAGTAAACTTAAACTGTAATCATTCCTTTGTCTCTTATTTTCCTACGAATAGTACCATTACAATCTGTCTCTTTTGAGCCTCAGTCTTTCCCTCTGTGCTATTTTCCTCAGCATGAATCTCAATTCAGCTCTCTCACCTTAAAAAAAAAAAAAAAAAAAAAACCCACCACCACCACCCTCCTACACAGTGTCCTTGGCTGGCCACAACCCCGACCTGTCCTTTCCCATTGTGCCTCCAGGAAGGACTGCTTGCCCCGCCTCCCGGATTCCATCACCCCTTACCACTATGTCTCAGCCAGACTGCTCTCCCAATGGATGCATCTCAGCCCTGACCTCTCCGCTGACCTTGCTGGATATCCTCTCTCCTCTTAGACTTCTTAGTCTTCCTTATGCTCTCCCTTCAAGACCCAGCATGGTGCAAGTTACCTGGGAGCAGCCTGAACCTGCCCAGGGAGATTGTGTCCTGCCCTTGTACTCTGTTCAGCTCCTCTGATGCCTCCTCACTGCAGTCACGGGTGTTTACTGATCTGCCTGCAGCTGGGATTGTGGGGGATTTTCCCCTGTGTCAGCCCCAGTAATATGTATTAAATGACTGAATGAGAGACAATGAGCACCAAGGTCTAAGAGCCTTCTGTGGAGACCTGTGGGCAGTGCTCAGGGTGCAGCCAGGTGTGTGGGGTGTCCAGGGGCTGGGGTGGGGCAGAGAGAATTACCCTGGTTGGCACTGATCCTGAAGGACAGCTTCTTCCTCCAGAGGTCAGTGGCAAGAACTCCATTGTAGTACACTGCCTGGGCGCCAGTCACCAGCTGCACCACCTTCTCCTGGTCACCAGGGTTATTCAGGGTTACTGAGAGCTGGGCGTCCTCTCCCAGGGGGAGGAAGCTGGGCACTTCCAAGAATAGGTACAGTGGATCATCCAGTTCACAACTAGGGGGATAGATGCTGCTGTGTTTCTTGTACCTCAGACTCTCTTTCCGGACTCTCTCTAGTACCTCTCTCTCTTGAAGAGATCCTGGATAATAGAAGAGACAAAGCAGGCCTCTAAACCAGCAGGTATAGACTCTTCTATTAAGAGCCCAGGATTAAAATGAAGAGAGGGGAGGGAGCGGGGAAGAAGAACCAAGATATATCATGTACAGGTACAAAGTCCCTATGATGAATATTATCGTTATGTATATCTAAAGTGTACCGTGAAATTCATTTTAAATATTTTTTAAAAATTAAAGTTGAAAGCCTTAAAAAAAAAGTTTTGCCAACTTCTCAGATGCCAAAGACACAAAAACTTTGAAATCTCCAAAGCCATACTTGAGCCCCGCAAAGCCTGTTAGGCAGACCCCCTCCCACAGAAAGAGTGCTACCAAGCTACTTAAGGACCAAGCTCTTCAAGTATCATGAATAGGGAGAGCAGGCTTTGCAATAAGTCAATGCCATCTTTGAGGACAGTTTTATATGGAATTAAATCTTCCTGTGAAGGAATTTGGACTTGCTTTGAGGGCAGTGGAGGCCATGGAATATCCTGGTGTGAATGTGTATAGGTTAGCAAAGTGACATTTGTGTTATTCTGGGAACTGAAAACTGGAAAGAGACAAGGCCGGGGGTTCAGTTGCTGTCCTGTAGACCAGAAGGTGATGAGGCCCCGGATTAGTTCTAGGCAATGGGAAAGGGCTCAGGAGACAGAGGGAGAGCAGATTGTGGTGGTGAAGGGGAAGACTCCAGGGTATAGAAGTCTTCTGGTTTGGACAAATAGGTGAAGAGCAGTGCCATTGACTAAATGGAAGAAGAGCTAGGGGCTGCTGGAGAACAGAGGGAGGGGCAGCACCCAAGTCTTCCGGGAGCTGGGCTTGGTGTCGAGTGCACTATTTTATTGCAGTGGTTCTTGACTGGGAGCAATTTTGCCCCCTCCCCCAGGACATTTGGAAATGTCTGAAGACACTCTAGGTTGTCACAACTGGGGAGTGTAGGGGACGGTGGTGTCTCACGGATAGAAGCCAACCGTGCTAAATCTCCTAGGATGCTCAGCCCTCTACAACAAAGAAATATCTGGTCCAAAACATCAGTAGTGTTGCTGGGGCTTGGGAAGCCATGTTTATGTGGTGGAAAAGGCCTGGAACTCTTCCCAGCCTGCATCTGTCTGACCCATCCCTTCCCATCTGCGGTTCCAGGTACAGAGAATCCTGGGCCCCTCCTGGCCCAGACCTGCAGGATACTTGTAGTTCTGAGTGATGTCCTCACAGCGGTCACTGCCCACAACCTTGGTGCTGATGTTGTTGCCAGCATACTTGGTGTTGAAGTTGGTCAACTCCAGTTTCCCATCCTCGCAGCACTTCCAGACCACACATGAGGCATTTACCGAGGCGAAAAGGTCTGACACGGCAGGCATCAGCTCCAGTGCCCCCTCCTTGACTGCTCTGACTGGGACCAGATCACAGGCTCCCAGGACTGAGGGGAGAGGGGGTGATGAGCAAAGGCCCCCTCCAGACCTCAGCCTGTCCTGGGGCAGGGCACATCTGACCCACTCTCCTGTGTCTCCCCTTCACCAGGGTCAAGGTCAGAGCTGGACCCTGGGAGGGTCTCTGACAGGTGGGCACAGCGGAGGTGAAACTCCTAACTCCTGGCCTATGGCAGAAGCCCTCTCAGAAATGGCCCAGGAAGGACCTAGAGTAACACATGGCACACAGGAGTTCCCAAGCCGGCTGCACTACGGAGAAGACAGCAGTCGGTCACCTTTCTTGAGCACTCGCCGTGGGCCAGGCTCTGTGAAAGTCCTGAGGAAGAGCCAGGCTTCCGTGGCTGCTGAAGCGCCCTCCTCTGGCCCCAGCTTGAGTTCGTCTCCGTCCGCACCCACAAGGTTTCAGTCCCACCTTGCAAGCCCCTGTCTGGCACATCCCCAGACCAGCTCCAGAGCCTCTGCCCTCCAGCAGGAGGCGCCTCCTTTGGCTGGCCATCCTTCCCTCTGCTTCTCCTGCATGAGCGCTATGGAGCCCTTGGGCCCTACTGCTCCTTTCCCTCCTCCCTCAGGGATCCACAGCGCTTTTGCTCTGTCAGCACTGGGCGGTTCCGGCCGCACCCACAGCTCTTACCTCCATCTGCACTCAGAGACTTGGGGTGCAGAATCTGCCATCCGTCAAACCCCTGGCACAAATCAGGCCTGGTCATCCAGCACTCTGTGGAAGTCTGGAAGATCCTGAAGGTAGCAAAGGCAAAAGTTCAAGTGGAAAACAAGGAGTGTAGAGGTTTTTGAGAGGTACAACCTAGCAGAGCTGCTTTCCCAGAGATAGGAGGACACTGTGTGAAAGTGTCTGTTACCCTCCAGGAGGAGGTGTGCACACCACCACTGACCCCCAAGAGTCCTGAAGGCCCAGCCTTAGGGCTAGGGGTACTGGGCTGTTTAGCTCCATGGGTCTGTGCCACACAGATGGGAGCCCCTCCTGACTGGAGACCGTCTCCTTTGGGCTTCTCACCAAATGCGGCCTCTCTGGCCTTCTCCAACCTGCAGCCCCTCTTCATTGTAGTACTCATCCACCAGCAGGCCCCCACCAGTGTCCTGGGCTGAGCTGAATGTGGTGACCACTCGAGCGGGGATTCCCAGACTTCTCAGCACTACGTGGAAGAGGTGCAGAGCGTTGGAGCAGAGAGGCAGGGTGCAGGGAACAGGGGTGAGGGCTGCTGTGTAAGGCCATGGTTTTCAGGTGGCTCCTCTGGACAGGCTGTCTTAAATGTGAGGTGACGGTGTAGGAGAGGGGATACAAGCACCAGGAAAGTAGAACTGACACCCCAGAACAGAACATAGAGAGGATGACACGAGTTACCCCACGTGCAAGGATAGAGCAGGGGGAATCTGGCCTGAGACCATGAATTTGGACTGAGTGCTGGGGGCTTTCTCTGCCAGGACAGGGCAGGGGAATGTTTTGGGGAGGGAGTGTGGGAACAGAACCTCCAAATAGGCCCAGCTTTGCTGAGGGAAGAAGGAGGAAAAGTTCCTGGGGAGGAGGGGTGGGAACAAGGATCTGGCTTCTTAGGCGGGGGGCGTCTGAACCAGCTCTGGACATGACAAAGTGGGGAGGCAGTGCCTACTCTGGGGGCTGTCCCACGTGGGCAGGCAGGGCAGCCTCTCTGGAGCAGCCCAGGTGACTTCCCTGTCATCATCTGCTCTGTACCTGTGCAGGCAACGGCAGCCAGCACCCAGGCCTGGCCCTCGTACACAGGTCGCCCTTGGCCAGTGAGCCACTGCCGAAGGATGGGCGCGCTCCCCCGGCGCTTGTTCAGCAGGGCCCGCTCCTGGGTGTCCTGGGTCTGCGGGGTGGGCAGGACCTTCTTCTTCTTGAGAGTGTGCAGCTGTTGGGAAATATATGGATGGCAGTGTGACATCAGGCAGGCTCCAGGATGAGGGAGGGGTGTTCTGAGGAAAGCCAGACCAGTTTTCATCCGTGTCTGGCTCTTTTCTCCAGTCCTCATACCTCTTGACTTTTCTTGCCCCTGTAGACAGCATTGCTTATCCTCTCCTGTCCCTCACTTCTCCAGAGGAGGGAATCAGTTGTGATTACAGGGCTTCCAGGGGCATGGAGGGTGGACACGTCTGTAGAGGGCTCTTGTCCCTCTCTCCCTCCTGCCTGCCTGGCACTCACCAAGGCGCCCAGTACCCGGGCCACGTGTGCAGGCTGGCTCCACTCCTCCACCTGCTTGTCTACACCCAGCAAGTCCAGGCTGAGGTCCATGACATCACTTTCGAACTGTAAGGATGGCACAGGCCAAGGCGGAACGTTTCAGGTCAGGCACTCATGCCAAGGACAGTTCCAGAATTCAATCCTCCCTGCTTTGCTGCCCCTGTGGGAGTTCTGGCTGCTGCCCCGCACCCCCACCCATGCTCGGCATGAGTCCCGCACCTGTTCTGTGGTGTGACTCTCCTGACAGGGCAGGGTTCCCAGCACTGCTGCCCGCCCTCCCTCCCTCCGTCCCTCCTTCCTTCCCCCGCTTTTTTGTACTGAGGATTGAACCCAAGGCCTTTGAACTGAGGTACATCCTCGGCCCTTTTTTATTCTTTTTTCTTAATTTCGAGATGGTGTCTCACGAAGTCACTGAGGCGCCCAGGCTGAGCTCAAACTTGCAGAACCGCCTGGGCCTCCCCAGTGTTGGAGCTACAGGCATGTGCCACCACACTCGGGTTCATTTCATTTAGGGTTCCCTTCATTTCTACGCCATGAGCTCCTAAATGGTACAGGGGATCCAAAGGCAGCTCCTGCTCTGGAGGAGCCCTCAGCCTAAGACTGGGGACAGACCCGTGGCCCTCAGATTACAGGGCTCTAGTGGAGAGACCAGTGAAGGGGAGAGAGTTCAGTGGAGAAAACTCCTCTGTCTTTGGGGGCCAGAGGAAGCTTTCAGAAGGCCTTAAGCGACGTAGCCTAGGGGTCAAAGAGGGAAGCTATTCCAGGCAGAGGGAACACTCAGCCGGAATGCTCAAGAGCCAGCGTATGGGGCAGTTTCTGAGGAAAGCAAAGCAGTGGCCTGACTGGAAAGGCCTTGGGCACACATAAGAGGGCTTGGTCTTTGTCCTGTCAGTAGAGGACTTAGACGCTAGAGCTGCACGGCTTTCAGGAGAGCGACTGGTGCTGTGCAGTGCAGAGGAAAGGGAGGTGCCGCAGGGCTAACAGGGGCCAAAGAAACGGCCTCCTGACCAGGGGCATTTGGACCAGCCAGCTCTGTCTGCCTGAAGTCATAAGATAGCCACTGTCTCCCTCTGTCCCTAGAGGTCCTTAGTACCTGGCCAAAGTCCCAGGGCTCTTCCTGGATGCAGTCAGCTGTGCCCAAGAAGATGAGGCCATTTTGGTCCAACAAGTACTCCCTGCGCTGAGCCTCATTCCGCAGAAACACGGCATCCTCTAGCAAGAAGCAGGAGAGGTCAGGGCTGAGGCCTGCCAAGCCCACCCTCCGGTCCAGGTCCAGCTTGGCTTCAGGACTCCCCATACACTCTGGGCCCAATGCAGACTGAGAAGGAAGTCGCTCTTTTCCTGCCCCCTCCCCATGCATCCTAGAGTCCCTGGGTCAGTGGCTGTAGCCTTTAAGGTCAGCCAGGCAGATAGAAGAAGCCAACCCAAAAAAGCCTAGTGGCTCCCAGAAGATAGTTGCATCCAGAACACTGTTGTCCCAAGAGAAATGGGTAGCAGCCCGAGAGCTTCCCAGTGCCCGGTTACATCTTTCCCTCAAGTTCCATTTGTGACCAAAAAAAAAAAAGTGTTTCAGAAGTAAAATTGGTGGGCCTGGAATTTAGCTCAGTGGCACCACGCCTGCCTTCTCCCAAAAGCAAGGTCCTGAGTTCAATCCCGATACTGGAAAAAAAAAAAAAAGTAAAATCAGTAAAGGGTAGGTTAACTGGAGTCACCAGCAGTCGGGAGCGCTGGGCAAGACAGGAGGAAAAGGAGTGGGGTGGAGAAAGAAGTCCAGGCTTTGGACCTCTCCCCTGAGAATGGGGATCCACTGGGCCTTGAATGCCCAAGATCTCGTCCCAGGGCTCCCCTGCTTCCTCATCCAAAGGTTAGCCTGGGTGTGAAGAGGAGGTAGGGCGGTTTCTAAGGAGGCCGTCACCCACCCTGGGAAGCTGGGAGCAGGGTGGAGACCGGCCTGCTTGCTGTCCTGTCCCTAGGACCTGGTGGCAGGTGGGATGGAGGTGGGAAACAGGTTCCCAGGAATATTAAAGGTATTTCCAGACCATCGAGAGGAGCTACTGGGCTCCAGCCCTCTAGGGGCCTCCAGGCATCCAGCGGGGATGAGAGTGCTCAGGACAACAGAAAAGATAGAATATTAAAAGCCAGGAAGCCCTGAAAAATCTGGGGTCTAACAGCAGAGAATCATAAGCCCAAGAACCCTCCAGTACCTGCCTGTCCGCCCTGAGTCCTCTCTATGAAGCCCACTAGGCATCCATCCTTGGAAACCACTTCCCAGGGTGTTTGGCCCCAGGCTCTGTGGGGGTTCAGGAAGAGCACAGGCAGCATCACTGCCTCTTCTTTGCCTCCCTTTCCCCTTTATAAAGTTCCCAGCCTGTGAACAGGGCTCTGACTTATCACATGACAAAAAATGTCCTTTTGAATCTAGCAGAGCCCCACCTCCAAGTATGCTGGCGGACTCTCTGCACCTCTCCCAGTCACCTCCCAGAGGAGCAGAGCCAAGGGCTCACTTTGCTCAGACAGATTAACACCCCTCAACATCGAAGGCTTCTCCAGGGAGCCCCCCAAACACTGAGCGTGAAGGCAGGACTCTGGTCACTGGGGTCAAGATGTAGATTCCCCTGAAGCCAGCACTGTCCTTGAACTCTGCGGTGTCTTGGCTGTCAGCACCCCGCTCTGGATGTAGACACCAGGTTGGTCATCTAGGAGTTCACCGAAGTCTCGGCCTTGGTGGAAAGTGGCTGGAGCACCTTGTCCGTCTGTGCAGAGCCATGCCCAGAAGGGCCCTGGATGGCATTTGACCGCATGGGTCAAGGGCTTCCTGGGTGATACAAGGTCCCACTACTGCTCCTTTCCCTACCCCTCTGGAACAAGAAAGAAGGCCCTGAGATGAGGGTAGGCAGGGCCACCTAGGGAGGGCTTGGGGATTGGAGGACCCCACCCTGGACAAGAGAAGAAGGAGGAGGAGGAGGGGGAGGAGGGGGAGGAGGGGGGAGGAAGAGGGCCGTGGGCTTCAGGTACTGAAGAGAAAGACAGAGACTAGAGCTCAGGCCTGGGGCTGCAGGAAACGGAGCAGACTCTGCCCTGGGTTTCCTGGCTCCCAGCTCTGCGCAGCGAGCAGCCCCATTCAGGCAGTGAGACTCTTGCAAGGCAAAGGGCTGAGCAGCATGGAGCTGCTTTCCATTCTCCCAGGTGAGCCGTCAGGGAGCTCACAGGATCAAGGTGGGTGTGGCAGATTTAAAAAGGAGAGACAGAATACAATCAGGAGACTATGAAGGAATCCTCAGAGCACAATGCCTCATTGGGTCCTACTTCGGGCAGGTTAATCATGTCTACATGGAATGGCCCCAGCCGCAGTCTGAGCTGCATCCTGCCTGAGGTGGCCATGAATTAGGTGACAGAAGGTCCCGTGACCCCAGGGAGCCCACCCATAGCTGGCTGAGTTAGACAGGGGAGTGTGGGGTAAAGACCCTGTGATCTGCCTTAAGAACAGAACACACAGTAGGAGGGACAAAAACGGCAGAACCAGGCACATTTAGTGCAAAGCTGATGGAGCTGAAGCTTGGAGTCACTAACTAAGATGGACGATTCAACAAGCCCGCCTTGTGGTGGGCCTGAGCAATTGAAAACCTTTATTTCTTAATTACCCTTTAAATTATATATGCTTCTGGGCCCAAGGAAACCCAAGTGCATCCTTGGGACAAACTGAGAAAGACCAGAGAGGGAAAGAAAAGCCTGTCCCTCAGGCCACCTCATTTTTGCTCTTTCCAGTTCTTGCCCCTGTACTGTTGCCATCAAGGGTAGCTTTCCAGGCCATCACAGTGAGTCTCAATTTCTGTGACCAAAATAGGACCACAGTTTGGCGGTAAAACAAGTCTTCTCTTTCAGTGGGAAGCCCTTGGGTGCTTCTGCCAGGGGTGACACTAGGTCAGGACCTTAGGTCTAAGGAGGCACCGGTGGGAACCGAATGCTGATGCTGACCTCGAAGAGGCTGCTCACGGGGAACCCCAGCTCCAGCACAACCAAGACCGGCCTCGGTCCAAACTCACCTCTGTTCCAGGGGTTAAAGAGCAGTGTGAACTGGCCCAAGAGGTGTTGACTCTGGCCTGAGATCTGTAGCAGGAGCAAGTAGTGGCCAATGACAGCACCCACTGGTGCGGTCACAGAGACGGTCCAGAAGCTGGCATCGCTCTCCTCCACTTCTGCCCTCCACCGCTTTGGATCCCCCAGAGCGGAAACTGGGAATGTGGCTTGGGTCCCGCTGGCCTTGGACGGCTGCAACCCTGCAATCATGCAGTGTTGAGTCCCTCATTAGGACTCGGTGATCACAGCTCAGAGTAACAAAGGGAGTCTTATCAAAATGGAGAAGGTGAAAGCTAGTCTTGGAGAACTGTAAAGGGGGATACGAGAGCACAAGTTCTCAGTGCTTGTGGACCTACATTATGAGAGCTTCATAGTCTACAAATTGGGAAAATAATAGTGCAGCTGTCCCTCCACATCCACGGAAGATGGGCTCCAGCACCCCACAGACACCCAAATCCCAGGATGCTCAACTCGCTTGTAGAAATTGGCACACTATTGCATGTAGCTTAGGTACATTCTTCCTTATACTTTAAATTATCTCTAGATTACTTTTTCCTTTTAATTTGTATGTGTTTGCAGTGCGCAGTGATTCCATTCTTCATGGGGAATTGGTGCAGGTATACAACACGTCTTGATTCTTTTTACTTCTCCTTCCCCCCATTCCCTTCCCTCCCTCCATCTCTTGGTTCTAAATTATTTGAATACTTTAAAAAATGTGAATGCTATGTAAATAGTCATTAGCCAGTACTGTTTACAGAATAATAACAAGAAAAAAGTCTCTGTGTTCAGTACAGATGTGATTTATTTTCCAGAGAATTCCCATCTGTGGCTGGTCTGCTCCAGGGATGTGGCCGGCCACTCTTGCTCCATAGGCCAATGTGAGGACACAGAAAGTAATCCATGCAAAGTGCTGGGCTCAGTATCTGACACGTAATGCAGATTTGATGAATAGTGACAATTAGGTATTATATTTAGCCTCAGTTAGAGCCCAGTCAGGCTTTTCTATAAAGCTATTTTTATCACTACTATTATCATTGTGGTACTGAAGATTGAACCCAGGGCCTTTGCACTGAGCTACATCCTTGGCACTTTAAAAAAAAAATTTTTTTTGGAGACAGTCTCGTGAAGTCACTAAGTTGTCCAGGCTGAGCTCAGACTTGTGATCCTCCTGCCTCAGCATCCCAGAGTGCTGGGATTATGGTGTGTGCCATCATGCCAGGCTTGGAAAGCTGATATATTTGCAACCAAAAGAAACCTCTTGGTGATAATGCTGCTGAGTGGATTGTGAGTCATGGTCAATACTATTTATTATGCACATGATCTTGTCACATCATCACAGAAGTGCTCCCAAGCTGGGCAGACTTCTTAAGGCCAGCCACAGAATGGTGTCATTTGCACTTTGGTTCCCTGCAGGGCGCTGGGGACAGAGCCCCTCCCATGTTAGTCCTATTGCCAAGGGTCTGGGCCTATCCCACTTACCAGTCTGTGCAACAAGGGCCACCTTCTTGAGGGCAGGCAGGAACGGCTGGACGGGGGACTGGAAGTGTAGGGTGATGGTGAATGACTGCCCCCTGCGTACAATGAGGCGCTGGGAGCTGATGGCCCAGGTGTGGTGCTCCTCATTGTTCTTTGCCACCTGGAAATCACAGCTCTTGATACCCAGGCCTTGTGCAGAAAAGACAGAAAACCATGGATGAATATGAAACAAGTAAAAGCAGAGATTTTAGAATCAGGCCTGGGTTCAAGTCCTTGGCTTCATTTACTTACCAGTTGTGCAACCTCACACAAGTAACTTAACCACTCCGAGTGTCAGTGTCCTCCATAAAGTAATCATCCCTTGCAGAGTCGTGGAGATCAACTGAGATCATGCATATAATACACTCAGCCAGTGTCAGACACTTGTCCTTTAGATGGGACTGTTGTTGTTATTTTTATAGAGAACAATATTTATTCTCATTAATGACCTTGCCCCTTTCCAAGCAATGAATATAACTCACATTTTACTCCACTCATTTTTTTTCCCCTAAAATACAATCAGATAAGGGCTGGGGATTTAGCTCAGTGGTTCTGTCCCCTGCCTCACAAGCACAAGGTCCTGAGTTCAATCCCTGGTACCCCCCCAATACAATCGGATGATTTTGAGAACTGGCTCTGGATCTCTAAGCCCAATTCTCTTGTTTTACATGTGAGAAGTGAAGCGTGAGGCCCAGGGTGTAGCAAACTCCCTGCTCTCACGCGCACTCTGGCCCACAGGCTCACCAAACTTGAGGCACCATGTAGCCCAGAATAATTCGATGAAGAGGCGGTCCCCAAGGTTTGTGATGTCAGTCAGTCAATTATTTTACAGAGGGAGGAAAAACGAGGAACAGAGAAATTTATAAAAATATATATGCACAGCAAGCCCAACATAAGGCACAATACTGAAAACAATAAAGTGGAGTTTCTTATGCAGTGAAGGGTTTGTGCACTGTCATTCCGTCAGCCCAGGGCTATCAGGAACCCCGGTCTGGAAGGCAGACTATGGCTTCGCTCAGACTCCTCTTCGGGAGGGAGAAGCTATAGCATTTGCTTTCCTGCCTCAGGAAGTAATGTGACCCTGATAGCAAAGCCCTTTGCCCCAAGTCCCTCGCAAATGCAGAATACTCCTATTTCAAATCTCCTTAAGTTCCCAACATTTCTATCACTTTCCTTTGTCCTCCTTTATTTCTTTTTCCTTCCTCTTCCGGTGATTGAACCCAGGGTCTTGTGTGTGCTAGTCAAGCGCTCTACCTCTGAACTACATCCCCAGCCCTCCAGAGTATGAGGGAAAGGAGGCAGAATGGAAGCCAGTTAGCCCACCTTCTCGGTTTTTCCTTTTGTTAGTGATGAAGCTGATGGGTGATGCCAAAGATATGCATGCAAGGGCAGAACCGATAATCCTAAATGCAAAGAGCTGGGAAAACCTCCCTGTGTCCTTTGTGCCCTCTGTCCCTCTCAGCCCCCAGGGGTTGTTCAGCCATGGCAGTAGATAAAATAGCTCCAGCAAGACTTGGATTTGTAAATGAAGAACAGCAGCACTCACAAACAAGAAGTGATTCCTTTCTGCTCCCACAAGCTGGTGCCCGGCCCTGGCTCAGCTGCCTCTGTCACCAGGTGGAACTGCACAGGACCACGGGACAGTAAGCATCAGAGGATGTGAGCTCTGGGACCTGATGCCACATAATGGGCAGTGTCACAGCACAGCCACACTGGAGCTCACTCGGAGTCTGCTTCTGTCTGGAAGCTGCCTCTGCCCTTCTCACCTGGTAGGCGCCTGCGTACACATCCTCCAAGAGCAGAAGGCGCTGGCCTCTAAAGCCTTCGCTGTCTTCTCCAACACAGTCCTGTCCTGAGCTCATAGTGCTGTCCTTCACTCTTTCCAGCATTCACCCCATTTCAGAGTCACAGCCTGCGGAGCTCTCCGCTCCCTCACTGTGAGATTCCCGAGAGACAGTGTTTGCTTTTTCATATCTACATCCTCTGCCCAGTAGAGTGTTGAACACAATAATTATGCAGCCAGCTGCTTCATCAATGAAAGAACAAGAACACTGAGTCAGCCCTAGGAGAGTCCTCAGCTGCCCTGTCAGATGCTGGGCATGGTGGTACACACCTGTAATCCCAGCACTCAGGAGGCTGAGACAGGAGGATCATTGTGAGTTCAAGGCCAGCTTGAACTACATACTGAGACCCTGTCTCAAAAAACAAAAAACAAAACAAGAAGACCCTGCCAGAGGCCCAAGGTCTCTGCATCCTCTAGATCTATCCTGTTTCTTGCTTTTTAGCTGCCTCTGTCCCTTTTAGTTGGGGTCAGTGACCCCTACTGTCCCTTCTTTCCTGCTGCACTTTAGGCTATGACACCCTCTTGCAGAGTGTTGCTCATTTGTCTCACAGCTGTGCTAGTCACATTATGGGGATCCTGGGATGGAAATAGAAACCTGTGTTGACCACCAGCACCATGGCTATGACCACCAGTCTACCTCTGAGGCCTGCCCCATTACCACACTGCCGTCCTGCACCCACTGAGGGCTGGCTGGGCTCACCTTGTCCCATAGCTGCAGGCTGCTCTTGTCCTCTTGAGCACAGGGAATGCCTGTCTTGAACTGCTGCTTCTGGGCTCCCTCTTAAACCTTCTTCTCCGGACAGAAAATGATGGAACACTCCTTGGCTTAAGAATCCATGAATAGCAAAATTTCTCTTTGGTTTGAGCACCCTGACAGCTTCCTTCTCTCCTACTCCCTCCCTGCTGGTATCTCAGGGACCAGCTGCTGGGAGTAACCCTTTTAAAATGCTATCTCTTACTACCAGGAGCCCAGGAGAGGGCAGGACTGTCAGGTTGGAGAGGTGAAAGGGAGAAGACCCTCAGCTGGAAAACCTCTAGAGAAAGCCCTACACCTGTCTCTTCAATGGCCTCAGAGACTCAAAGGGATATTATCCGGGCAACACAGGAAGACCCTGGGCAAACGGTGCCGCATACACGTGTGTCTGTATTGAACTCAGCTCTCGGGCCCTGAGAGAGCTGCACGTGGCGAGACATGCCTGGGCTGTGTCGACAATATACTGAGAGATCACATGTGTTTGGAATTCATCTGTGCGAAAGAGATAAGGAATGGCGTTTGTTGGCAGAAGATACACATCCTAAAAACCGAAGCCAGGGCACCAGCTCTCTAAGACCACTTGGTCTGGGACACTTTACCAGAGAGGTTTTGGCCCTGCCTGGGGACTGAGCCCGGTCTTGTCAGCTTCTCTGTGCGTACTCACTGGGGTTTACAAGACCAGGAAAAGGAATGTGATGTCTGGCCTTCTTGGGTCCTCGGGAGCCCAGCTTTTGCCTGGCTTCTGAGACTGTGTCGTGACCCAGGCACACTTGGGGACAGCTGTCCTTGCTGTGTGTGTGAGGTATCTATGGAAGGCTATAAACAAACTGCAAAAACCACTGGTTGCCTGGGGGCAAGGGAGCTGGGGTAAAAAGGTGATTTTTTTTCCCTGCTGTTTATCCTTCCATGTTTTTTTTTCCCCAGTGCTAGGAATGGAACCCAAGATCTTGCACATACTACCACTGAGCTATGTCCACAGCCCTAAAATGTTTAGGACTTATTTGAAGAATCTTATGTGAAAAAATGAAACTGCTGCCTTGCCATCCCACCTCTAAAAAAGACTATTCCTAAGTATTGGAGAAGTATGCCTGTGACCCCAGTTACTCAGGAGGCTGAGGCGGGAGGATTACAAGTTCAAGGTCAGCCTGGGAAACTTATCATGATCCTGTCTCAAAAACAAAAAAGGGGGCTGGGGGTTTAGCTCAGCGGTTTTGCCGCCTGCTGCGCAAGTGCAAGGACCCGAGTTCGATCCCCGGTACCAGAAAAAAAAAAAAAAAGTTTTCATTATTACCTAGAAAACATGAATATATGAAAATGATTAAAGGTGAGATAATTTAGTAAGCTGGCTACTAACAAAATTATAACAATACAATAATTTTCACATCTCAAGTGACAGTTAGAAAATGTAATAAAGGACTCAACAACAGATAACAACCAAAAATAAAAGATCCAGAAATAAGCTTAAGAAATGTTCAAAGGCTGTCAGGAAAAAATTTTGAAAAGCTATTGTGGGATGCAAACCAAAACTGGAACAAAGAGAATGGCAGATTATAAATTTGGGGAGGCTGACTCGGCATCTTACAGAAGCCTGTTCTTCCTCAGTTCATCTTATATTTAATGGCTTCTCAACAAAAACAACTTTTTTCTTTGAAATCAGATAAACAGACTCTAAATTTTAAAAAATTTTTCTAATATGGTAGTGAAGTACGATCAGCTTTCCAAAATATTAAAACAATGATACCTCTGTAACTTAAAAAGTCCATCAGCCAAAGCATAAGCTTTAAGCATATGCTAAATGTGACCCTTCAAATTAGTAGGAGAAAAATAAAGATTCATCAGTAAATTATTTTGACACAGCAAGCTTGCCAAAATAATATATCACAAACCAAAATCATTTCCAGTTGGATCGAAATTCTAAATGTAAAAAATTAAGTTCTAGGGCTGGGGATTTAGCTCAGTGGCTCCACCACCTGCCTTGCAAGCGGAAGTTCCCGAGTTTGATCCCTGGCACCGCCCAGCCCCCAAATTAAATTCTAAAGAATACTAGAAAAGATGAGGCACTTATTTTTTAAATTAGGTTAGGAAAACCTTTAAAAATAGTATATAAAACCCTGAAGCAATAAGAAAAGGTTGATAAATTTGATTCCTTAAACATTTTTAAATGGGAAAAAAAATCACAAAGTTAAAAAATGTTAAACAAATTGGGGGAAATCTTTGAAATTCAGAAAACAAAGCATGAATTTCCTTACTATAAACTATGTGTACAAATCAGTAAGAAAACAACAATCCAATACAAAATTAGGGGAAATATGTGATAAACAATTCCCAGAAGAGAAACACAACTGTCTCTCACATACACAAAAAGATGTCTCACCTCACTTAACATAAATGCAAAATAAAACTATACTGCCATGTCATTTGCTAACCTATCA